AACAGAGGACATAGTTGTCATTAATGTGTAGGAGGTGATTTAAATAGGTGGCCATAAACAAGTAACTGAAGGAAGTCTTGCATGATGTTTAGTTTCTATTTGATTGTTCTTTCCTGAAATCTAAGTACATTGTTACCCTATTATTCTATTCATACTTCCAAGGCCTGCCTGGGCCTGTTGCAGAAACTAATGCTAGGAGAGGGTTCAAAACCTTATCAGCTAATGTGATTCACTAACTCAAAAGTCCAGTAAAACAGTAGCTATCCAGGAAGATGAAATAATAAAAGCATTATTAAATAACTGACACCACTTTAATACTATAAATGCAAACACTGATCACTTGAAAAGGAAAAATTTGAGTGTGTTCATATGTTGTCTTTAGTTCTGAAGCATATTTTATTTCAGTAGCATCTGAGTAGTTGTCCTATTTTCAATTTTGTTATTTCCAATAAAAGTTTAAAAAGTAATCTTCTCAAAAGTTATCCCAGCAAAGGCTAGATAAGATGAGATGCAAATATATCATAATAATCTTTGTTAAGCTTAAGGCATTATTAAGCAATCAAAAGTGTAAAATAAAATTCAAATTTCTTTGATAGCTGGGAAAGATCTATGTTGATGATCTTCCACTTTTGCTGTACATTAGGATTACCTGGGAGCTTTTAAAATCCTGAAGCCTGGGTTGTACTCCACCCCGATGAAGTCGGAATGTCTGGTGGTAGGAGTCAGGCATCAGTATTTTAAAAGGATACTCAGGTGATTCCAAACTGCAGCAATGTGGAAGCCTGTGCAGTTGAGTAAAGGGAATAGAAATCTATCATGGAAAGCTGAAATAAATAAGACACTGTGGACATGGAAGATCATCAGAGTCCTAGTCTCACCATTTTTTAAAGATTTTATTTTTTATTTCTTTAGAGGGGAAGGGAAGGAGAGAGGGAGAGAAACATCAATGTTTGGTTGCCTTTCGTGCGTCCCCTGCTGGGAACTGGCCTGCAGGGGACCGGCCTGCAACCCAGGCATGTGCCCTGACTGGGAATCGAACTGCGATCTTGTGATTCGCAGGCCTGCACTCAATCCACTGAGCTACACCAGCCAGGGCTTCACCTTTGTTTTCTTTTTATATGTTCTGGATATTTAGTAGATACTTAGATACTTACTGAATTGAACTAGACTTATTAAATAATATCATTATTAGATGATTCAGTCATCCATTTCCATAGTCCTTATATAATCATTTTTCATACCTCTTAAGCATCAAAGATACTACACTAGCCAATGTACCGGTATCTGTACTTCATCTCCATCACTGATAAAAGTTTTGACAATCACACCTCTCCAGCATGCCAGAAGCCATCCATCCCATATTCTACTACCACAAGCAATGAGGTTTTCATTCTAGCCAGCATGTGAGTAACCCATCTCCAAAAAATCTCATTTTAGAGTTGGCTCCCTTAAAACATCCCTGTTACAAACTGTATTAGATTGGGTTTCTTTGAAACAGACTCTGAGATGGGAGTTGCATGCAGAAAGTTTACTGGAGAGTTCTCTTGAGAGATATACTCGTAAGGGAGTGAAAAAGATAGGACTGGGCAGACCGAGAGATGGACCAGTGAGGTGATTGCAATTGAGGCCTCACTTAGCCTATTTTATGAGAAGCTCTGGAGGTACCTACCTCCAGAGTTGTTGCTAACTGAGGTAAGACAGCCAGGTTTTTGTATCTCCACATTAGCCTGTCAAAGGGGGAGGGAAAGATAACTTTACTCCGAGGTAGTTTTCAGAGCAATTCCCAACGAGGGATGCAGCTGTGAGCCAATAGCATCTGATGCAATAGTTCCATCTGTTGGAGGATAATTGTGATGACCCTGAAGAGGGGCACAGGTTGAAGGACCAAAATATCCACTGTAAAGTTCAAAATGACTTGTCTGTGATCACTGGGAGTGCCTTGTGTGGGCCCTTGTGTTTTTTTGACATGATCATTGGTTTTGTATAGTTTCCTTGCTTTCTGGTATAAAAATTCCAGCCTCTTATAGTATATTACCTGAACTAGAACTGATATTTGCTATTTCTCCAAAGATTTTCTTTAAGGTGCATTTAGAGACCACAAAATGAATGTTAGGATTGTTTATTAATTCTAGGCCTTTTCAATGGACAGCACTAAAATATACATTTTAAAAAGATGTATATGTAAAATATACAAAATACAATGTAAAATATACATTTTACATTCTTGTCATATTTACAGATAACAGGAAACCACAAAGATAAAAGAAAAAAATCACAAGTTCATATTAATTTTGCCATTTCAAATTTAACATTATGGAATTTTTTACTTAATTTATTTGATTTTACACTTTTATCTCCTTTTCCTTACATTAAAAAGCTTAGTTCATAATACCACAAAGTAAATATTTGTATTCCTCTAGTATCTCCCCATATGTTTCAAATTAGTAATACTACTATTACTGTAAACAGTTAGGCTACAAAATAACTTAAAAAATATATTCTTGCAGATCTTCCTAGAATATATTCCAATGTGTTTGAGAGTCACTAGATTTTGTGAAAAAGCACACTGCTTGATTTTTACCCTCTCCAACCTTTTAATTCACTACTTATAAAAAGATACATTCTTGTCATATTTACAGATAACAGGAAACCACAAAGATAAAAGAATTTATTAGAAGACAAAAATCAGGCTCACAAATAATCTCAATTCTTTACAGTGATGGTCTGAGTTTAATACAATGAAATATGATAGGTGTGGCTGCAATTAGGTTTTATATTCCGCTTAATCCACAAAGAATCAGAAAAGACATAATAAAATGATAAACATAAACTTACACTTACTAATAAGAAAGGCTATCACTTTTTGAGCACATACGATATGCTAGGCCCTCTGCTAAATGCTTCATATAATTTTTAAATTTAATCTTCACAAGAATCTCATAAAATAATAGCAGTACTGTAGTATGAAAATTATACTACAACTAGTAGTAATATCTAACATTTAAAGGGCTTGTCTTGAGTACCAGGTTCTGGTCTAGGTAGTTTACACTTAATTCTCCTAACAACTTTACAAATTGCATCCTACTGTTACTTTCTTTATATAGATTGGGAAACTGAGGCACAGGGAATCTGTAGTAACACAGCAACTTGCTAAGTAACACAGTAAATTTAGGTGGGATCCAAGTCTGGCTGTCTGATTCCAAGGTCTTAGGTGTACTTCTCCCCCCTTTTACAGATGAGGTTCAAGGATAAACAGGCGGAGAAACTTCCCCAAGTTTCTAGTAAGGTAAGGACTAGGATTCATCCACGGTGCTTGATTTTTATAGCTGATTTCTCAACTGCTAGGTAACTGATTTCCTAACTGGTAGGTAACTAGTAATTGGATCAGTTGCTTTAACACATTAATAGCTGTAATCTTAGTAACAACCCTAGGAAGTTGCTACTTCAATGACAGGAAATGTAAAGTTCAGGAGGTTAAGCATGTGACTCAAGGTTATAGATAGTGAGCTGTAAAGTTGCAGCTCACACCCAGATCTGACTCCAAACCCCATTTTCTTGAACATTGTACCATGCAAGAAGATAAAGATGTGACAAAACAGCAGCATTAGTTTAAAAAAAAAAGAGAGAGACTTCTTGCAAGTTCAGCATGAGGCAGTGGTAGAATGCTACTGCCACCCAGGTAAATGCAACCTGAAGCTGCGGTGCAGAAATACAGTATTCAAAGCAAGGGAGGCAGCCATCCCACTCTATTCAGTAATGGCAGAGGACACCTGGAGCACTGCATGTGATTCCGGGCTCCACGCTTTAAAGGAGGGTCATTGACACACCTGAAGCTTAGCCAGAGGTGAATGTCAAGCTTGGTGAAGGCTCTGAGTAACATTTTTAAAAGAACTGTTAGAAAGCTGGGAGTCGCCCTCACAGAGGAGACTCAGAGATGGTTGAAAAGCTAGTATTTATAGTGTCTTCATGTGGTGGAGGATTCGATGCAATCCAGCGGGAGAAATTAGGCTACATAGAGAATCACAGAGCTGGATTTGGCTCTTCAGAGGGAGGAAGGACTTCCAGGTGTTCGGAGACTTGAAGAAATGAAACAGGCTTCCTTCTAAGAGAATGAATACTTGCTCACTGACATGAACTTGACCACTTGAATGACCACTTGCTGTGGGTGTTAAAGGCTTACATGTCAGGTGTGGTAGTTCTTAAGTTTTTTTTAGCTGGTATATGAATCACCTGGGGGGCTTGGTAAATACTAGTTTCCAGGCCCTGTTTTCAGCAGTATTGACTCAGTAGATCTGATAAGTTCCAAGAACTGGCATTTTTAACAGGTGGTGTGGTGGATCTAAACTGGTGGTCAGTGACTCACACTTTGAGAACTAGTGAGATTAGTAAACTCTGAGATCTCCTCCACTTATTTCACAAATAAACATTTTAGTAAAAAATGTGTGTAGTCAACATATGACTTCTCAGAGAAAGTTGTCATAAGTTTTACAAAAGATTCAAGACAAAATTCTTTGATATGTCGACAGTTACAAGTAGAAATGAAATTATTGGAATGTAGGATATTACGACATGGAAGGAGAAGGCTTGATTCTTAATCTGTCAAAAAGATAAGGCTTTAAAATAAAACGGAAGGTACAAATCCAGTTTGAAAATCTTTGAACACTTTAAATAAAGAACACAGTCTACGTATGACAAGAAACAATTTCATGGGGACCTCGCAAAAGCTGATTGTCCTAAAGGACTGCACCTGTGTCAGGTTAAACACCCACCAGGCTTTGGGGCCCAGGCTTATATAATTTCAGCCCCAAACTGACACAGCAGGTGGGGGTGCGAGTCAGAAGCCCAAAGCATAGCTGGTCTTCTAACTCTCACCCACTTTTTGTTGGGGCTAAAGGACTTTTGCTGGCAAGTACAATATGTTTGAGTAATCTGAACTTTTACTTAAAGTGTGCAACTTGAGAGCCACATTTTAAAACTATACTGCACCCTGAAATGTTTTTGCTCTCTGTGAATATGTTTTTAAAACGTATTTACAACAATTACCCACACTGATTACAACAGTTTTTAAAAAGTGGTGCTTGGTGTAATTACTGTCGTATTTCAAGACTTTTTCTTTTACTTAAGTTGCATAATATTTCATTTGTTAAGTATATTAAAGTTTAAAAAGATGTTTTTCCTTGGGAAATCATTAAACACTGTCTAGTTGAGGAAGTGGTGTTTTGTATTGTCAGTTGATAGTATTAATGTGCTTATTTAGCTCATTAAGAAGTAGTAAATAATTTGTTTTGAATTTAAGGTATCTACAATTTCTGAATATCAGTTACATGCTGGTAAGCTAACTTGTTTCTATTTAACTTCTTTTTGCTTCCTTTTCATGGTTACAGACCTCCTCATAGGGTTTTTTTTTTCTCCTTGAATCATGAGAGATGAAATTGCAACAACAGTGTTCTTCCTCACAAGATTGGTGAAAAAGCATGATAAATTGAGTAAACAACAAATAGAAACCTTTGCAGAAAAGCTGATGGCCATCCTGTTTGAAACCTACAGAAGTCACTGGCACTCTGAGTGTCCTTCCAAAGGGCAAGCCTTCAGGTAAGAGCCAGTGCGTGGTGCGAAAGGGAAGCAACAAGCCTCGGCCATGATTTTGTGGGCAGTCTATCTGTAATGTCAGTTTAGTGGATCCGAATTTATTTGTTTGAATATGGGCTTGAAAGAAAGAGGTGCATAGGTGATAGTGCTGTTGATTATTGCAGTACAAACTTAAGCAATTTGTAACTTGTGTTTACCATGAAAGATATACAGTGAATGTTTGGTGAACAAATTGTGTGACTTACTGATGCAATTAACATCCTGAGCTGCTGTGAGAAAAGTTGATGTTTCAACTCTTACTTGTAAAACTGGAGGGTGGGGAAGGGGTCAGGGGAGGGCAGGGGTGAGGTTGGAATTGTGGGTATTGCAGCAGCGTGCCTACAACATGATTCTCCTGCTACAGCACCTATCACCATGCCTTTGTTTCCCTTTCTTTGTTTTTAAAGGTGTATCAGGATAAACAATAATCAGAATAAAGATCCCATTCTGCAAAGGGCTTGTGCTGAGAGTAATGTGGATTTTGCTCACCTGGGACTTCCAAAGGAGATGACAATATGGGTAGATCCCTTTGAAGTTTGCTGTAGGTGAGTAGTCTCATTGGATGTAAGAGTTTGTGTTTTCTCTGACACCTGGAAACAGGTTGTTCGGTCAATTCTGCACACCTTTGTGAAAGATGATGTTCCAAAACCCTGGGTTAGCAGAGAGGGCAATGGTTGGTTAAGATTTTAGACACAAACTTTATTAGATAACACAGATTTCCAGTAGGAGTGGGAAGCACAAAGATTTTGCATAATATTGGAAATTTGATTTTAATCCCTGCACCCTATTGCCAGCAGTAGATTATATAAGTATTATTATAGGCAGTATCAAGGAGGAAGAGGAATTACTTCTCATGGGGCAATTCAGTCCATTATTTGGATCAAAAGAAACTAGTCTTTGTCTTTTTCCAAGCAATTAAAGGAAGTAGTTCTTACAGAATGCCCCCACTAATTACAACAGTGTGGTTGTTGAAGATTATAATGTCTCTTGATTTACTTTGCTATGAAGTCATTTCAATTTATTTTTCAGAATAACTTTTTTTGTTAACTCTTTTTGTCTCCAGAAAAGATTTGAGATAAAAATGTGAGACATTGAACCCCAAACGAATACTTTATTTTCCTCTGTTACTTAGGTATGGCGAGAAAAATCATCCATTTACAGTGGCTTCTTTCAAAGGCAGATGGGAGGAGTGGGAGCTCTCTCTGTGGATCCGGGACGCCGTCAGCAGGGCCGCCCTAGACCACGCCTCCAGCGGCGCTTCCTCGGATGAAGAGAGTCACCACCGAGAACCTCAGAGAATCCCTAAAGTCTGCAATCCGAAGAGTATTTATAAGGTAGAGTGTGTTCCAGTTCTTCTGTATGCTTTGACCCCGATTCCAATTCTAAAAAGAATATGCTCACTGTAAAAGCAGAGAAACAGCAATTGGAAAACATGGAAAAAACGACACTACAAAGATTAAAACCTCGATTTTAATATTCTGGCAAAACGCCTTTTTCCCTTTTCTATAGGTATTTCCTCCATTGGCTGAGTGCTCAGCATCTGTACCGCCTTTTACAGTCCCGTTGTCTGTATAGTATTTGAACATGAGCTTTCTTTCACCTCAATTTCTTTAGAATTAAACATTAAAATTAGTGGGCCTTTTTTGACAACACTCATAGATACCACTCATAGGTAATTTGGAAAATTAAGAAATAACCAAAGGTCTGCAATCCCACCACTGGAGCAGTTTTTTGAAAAAATTTTTTTTATCATAATCCATAGAAAGATATGCACTGCTTTGTGTTAGAAATAGGTTTCATGAAACAATATTTATCCTTACTAGTACGGTTCTCTAATTTATCCTTACTAGTACAATTAACACTTTGAATGAAATGAAATTGATTTCAACCACCTGAATTGATTTCATGATTTCCTAATGGTGGTAACCCACAGTTTGAAAAGCAGTGATCTAGAGACTGTGTCGACACTGTGTGTGTATATACTTATTGGTATTTAAAAAAATAACTTATGCATTAAACTGTTACAGCAATTTAAATATTTAAAATTTTAATATTCATTTGCCTTAACTAAGTAATTTACTTAGTTAATCTATTATTGGTAGATATCTAGACTGTTTCTACATTGTCGTGATATAAAAAAAGCTGATAATTTGTACCGAGATGTCTGAATTTTAAATTGTTTCTGGAAACGTGATTCTCAGACATGGAATTACTAGGGCATTGAGTATGGACATTTCACTCATTCTCAATGTATAGCCACAGTACCTTCTAGAAAGTTGTGTTTATTTATAGTATAGCCAGCTTTATGTGAAAGTATTTACCATTTTTCCTACAATTGCGTATTCTCAGTTAAAAATAGTTTGATAACAGTACTATTACAGATATTATTAATTTAATTAAAAATTTAAAAAATCCCCATGTCCCTAAATGTTTAAGATAGTTACTGTCTTTTGAATTTTCTCTTTTTCATCCACTTATCATGGAGGTCTGAATGTATTGGGTTGGCCAAAAAGTTTGTTCATTCTTTTTTTTTTTTTGTAAGATGAATCTCTAGTAGAGCTTACTTGTTTTTTTTAATTCCATTCAAAACAATTTTGTTAGATTGTATTGTGGCAGATGTCATATCAGCATGTACTAAAAAAATCAAAATTGGTGAATTTTTGTGTAGCCATTTTAATATTGAAGATGGAAAAAAGTAAGCAACTTTTTTCACATGTTATGCTTTATGATTTCAAGGAAGGTAAAAACGCCAGTGAGACTCATAGAAAAAGATAGGAATAGTGAGTGTATGGAGAAAGTGCTGGGACTGAGCAAACATGTCGAAAGAGGTTGTGAAGTTTTGTGCTGGAGATTTCTCACTGGATGATGCCCCATGGTTGGGTTGACCTGTTGAAGTTGACAGCGATCAAACTGAGACATTAACTGAGAACAATCAATGTTATACCACATAGGAGATAGCTGTCATACTCAAAATATCCAAATCAATAAAGTTATTGATGAAAATGAAGACATGTATTTTTTATGGGGGAAAACACATGAACTTTTTGGCCAACCTAGTATTGCTGCTATAGGCTCTTCAAACTTTAGGAGTATTTTAACTCTTCTTCATATTACTGGAAAAAATTTTCCTTTAGCTTGTATAGTTTTTGAAACTATACATATAGTTCATATATAGTTCTATATGTATACAAGTTAGTAAAATACTTGCCCTTAATTCTATCTTTATGCTTAGAAAGGTCATCTTCCATCTAGGGGTCAGGTCTGTAGTCAGCTCTGTTCTTCTAGAGCAGTATCCTTTCAAGGGATAGTCTGCAAAACATTTGCGTTAGTCACCTGGGATGTTTAAAGTGGATATTTGTAGATCTCAGTCCCAGAGATCATGATTAGATAGTTTTGGGTTTCACCAGTGAGGCAGGGTGAGGTAAGAGAGGAGTTAAAATGTGTAGAAATTTGCATAAATGTGTTTTAAAAAAATTTAGTTGGAATAAGAATTAATTTTGTTAAAGTATGAAGTTGACTTTGTTACATACAAAATGCTAGCCATTTTTTCAGACATAATTATTTACTTTTATTTCTCTTCATTTGTACTTCCTATACTTTTGACAGGTTTAACTTGAGTTTACTGGTTTTATTTAATCCTTACTAGTTTATTAGTTTATAGAAGATCTTTATACTACCCCTTTTTCTTTCTTTTCCTCCCTCAGGTTGAAAACTTGAAACAGCCCTTTCAATCTTGGTTCCAAATCCCCAGCAAAAAGAATCTGGCTGATGGCCGTCTGAGCTTCCTAGGAAATGCTTGTCATGCCCTGCGTAAGAACCCTAGGGGTCATAGGCCTGCAGCTCTTTGCCGGGTGGACAGGTACCACTGGGTCAACACGAACCGGTGAAGCCGTGCCTTGGCACTCAGGGCCTCAGAGCTCAAAGGAGCCATTTTATTTTCTCTACACTGAAACTAGTCTCGGTGGAGAGGGAGGCCCCTGGAACAGAAAAAATAACGACATTAGGGACCAGCGTGTATGATGGTGAATCCTCTCACACAAATCATGACTGTGTTCTTAGCTGTACTTTTAATTCTTATTTAATTTCATATAAACTTTTATGTAACACTAACAGATGTACCCAATAAGTGATAGAATGAAGATAACTAACCTGTGTTAAGATTCAGTGAATTTTGAAAAGTAACAATTTAAATAAATGTGTTGTGTTTTTAATATAGTTCCCGTTCAGTTTGTTGCAAGAAAATCTTAAAAGTTTGTATTTCTTCATTAGCTATTAAAAACAAAGTAGATCATCGTTCAGGGAAGAGTGGTCCTCGTGATAGAGTTCCTGGTTCTGCTTGATTCCCTGCCATCACTTCTAGTTCATAGGGCCAGCGAGAGCTTGTTTGAAATTGCTCCTTAAGGAAAATAATTCTTTTTAAAAATTAGTTTACTTCTAACCCTTTTAATAGACTTAATCACTATGACTTATTTTATAAGAGTGATAATATACTTATCACAAAGAATTCAAACTAAGCAGAAAAACACAGTGCCAAGCAAATAAAGATCGATCACATCCAGCCAGAAATGACCATCCCTGACATGAGGTGGTGGCCATCCTTCCAGCCACCCTCTTACATTGCAGGTGCGAGGCTCTAGCTGTAGACCCGGTAGTGATACAATCACACTGCAGGAGCTACTTCTCAAAATACTCGGGTTAAACTTTGCTTGATCTTAGCAAAACAAAGACACCTAAAGTGAAACAAAGAACTGTTGAAATATTCAAAAGCTTTTCTATCACAAAGTATTTTATTTCCTAAAAGACTACTTATGGTGTTTTTTAAAAGGAAAATACCAGGAGGCTTGGAGCAGTTTTTAAAACTTAATTTTTTAATATATATACAATTTCATTATTTGTTGCAATGTAAGCTGCAGAGATTAGAACTCTTCATTTTTTCCTATCCTTCACGTCCCTTGTCCTTTTTTAAAAACTGAGGTATAATTGACAATTAACATTGTTATTTTCAGGTGTACAACCTAACTTGGATATTTGTATACCCTGAGAAATGATCACCAAAATAATTCTAGTTAACATCCACCACCATACACAGTTACAATTTTTTTCTTGTGATGAGAACTTAAAGATTACTCTTGGCAATTTTCAAATATGTAATGTTTTTAATGTCAAAGTTTATGTTCTGTCCTAAAACAATTATTCCTATAGGTTTTTCTTAGTTGTATGTTTAAACTGATTCAATGCTCATCGATAACCTTTTCGAAACATGAAACGTATTTTCATCTTTGGTTAGCTGGATTTTATTGTTAAGCAGCTTTTCTTTTTTAAAAATTAAACTTTTTGAGAGAATTGTAAATTGACATGCAGTTAAGAGAGAGCCTGTGCACTCTTTACCCAGTTCCCAAGGGTAACATTTTGTGAAACTGTAATGTCACAATCCGATATGGACATTGATACAGTCCAGATACAGAACAGTTCCATCACCACAAGCATCCCTCTTGCTGCCTTTTATAGTCACACCCACTTCCCTCCCACACTCATCTCTCCCTTTACCCCCTTGACAGCTACAAGTCTGTTCCCCATTTCTATAACTTTGTCACCTCAAGAATGTTATAAATGGAATCATACGTAGGTGACCTTTTGGGATTGGCTTTTTTTTTTTCACTAAAATAGTTGTCTGGAGATTCACCCAGGTTGTTTCATGTATTAATAATTCGTTTGTTGTTACTGTATTTCATGGTATGCATATAACAAGATTCGTTCAACCATTCACCTGCGGAAGGATGACAACTGGGTGATTTCTAGTTTGGGGCATCATGTATAGGAGCTGTTACAAACATTCGTATACATAGAGTGGGTATCTAAGTTGTTATTTCTCTGGGATAAGTGCCTAAAAGTGCAATTACTGGGTCATACGGCAGTTGCATGTTTAGATTTGTAAGAAACTGTCAGGCTGTTTTGCAGAGTTGGCTGTACCATTTTATATTCACACTAGCGATGTGTGAGTCATGTAGTTTCTCCATACCTGTGCCTGCCTTTGGTTTTATTACTTCATACTTACCAGAAGGGCTTAAACAAAAGGAACAAACAAACAAAAAATAGTGTCACCTCACTCTTAATTTACATTTCCTTGCTGGCTAATGAATCATGTTGAACATCTTTTCCTGTGCTTATTTACTGTCTTTATATCCTCTTTGGAAAAATGGCTATGCATAGCTTCTGGCCCTTTTAAAAATTGGATTGCTTTTTTATTTTTAATCGTTGAATTTTGATTAAAAAATTCTTAGTCTCTACAGAGTCCACATACTGGTCCTTCATCAGATATTTGGTTTAAAATTATTTTCTTCCAGTTTGCAGCTTGTCTTTTTATCCTTTTAACAGGGTATTTTGCAGAGCAAAACTTTTAAAATTTTGAGTATTTCATTAGTTTTTCCTTTTATGGATTATGCTTTGCCATCAAGCCTAACATCTCTGACTAGCCCTAGATCCTGAGGGTTTTCTGTTTTATTTTTTCCTGTAAAAGTCTTGTAGTTTTACATTTAAATATGTAATCCGCTTGGAATTAAATTTTGTATGGGTAGTGAGACTTCAGTTGATGTTATTTTTTTTTTCTGTTAGTATCTACTTGCTCCAGCCCCATCTGCTGAAAGTTGACTTGTTTTTGCGTTTGTGAGAATTCAGCTAGGCACGTACATGTTGGTCTACCTCTGTCCTTCTCTTGTACACTGACCTGTGCCTTTGTCCTGCCGACATCACAGTCTTGGTTTCTGTAGCTATGTAATTCTTGAAACTGGGTAAGTTGAATTTTCCCACTTTATTCTTCTTTTTAAAACTTCTTTTAGCTCTTCTACTTCCTTTGCCTTTCTATAAAAAATTTAGAATAAAGTTTTGTCTATATCTATAAAAAATCTTGCTAAAATATTAAAAGGAAATGCTTCAAACCTGTATATCGGTTGAGGGAAAATCAACATCTCTGCTAGGTCAAAGCCTTTCAACCCAAGAATATAGTATGTCTCCGCATTTATTTAGATGATCTCTGATTGCTTTCATCAGCATTTTGTAGTTGTTAGCATACACATTTTATACATGTACTTGAAATTTATACCAATAATTTAATTTTTTAGTAGTTATAAGTAGTGTTATTTTAAATTTTGATATCTATCCATGTGTTCACTGGTAACATTTATAAATATATTTGCCTTTTGTATGTTTATCTTTTGTCCCATGACTTTAATTAATTCATTAGTTTCAAAACATTTTTTTATTTATTAACTTTTTGTAGAGTTCTTGGGATTTTCTAGATAGACAATAATAATATCTGCATTTAGGGACAGCTTTATTTCTTCCTTCTCAATCTGAATGCCTTTTATTTCCTTTTCTTGCCTTGTTGTAGTGGCTAGAACTTTCAACACTGTGTTGAACGAGAGTAGTGAGAACAGGCATCCTTGCCTTGTTCCAATCTTAGGGGAATGCAGTCAGTCTTTCACTATAAAGTAGATATTTACCATTTTTGTAGATATTCTTACATCAAATCAAGGAAGTTCCCCTCTATTCCTATCTTTCTGACAGTCACAATCATAAATTGGTGAAAGTTTGACAAATGTTCTTTCTGCATCACTTGTTACAACCTTGTGATTTTTCTGCTTTAGCCTGTTGATGTGTGAATTACATGTTTTTTAAAATATTGGACCAACTTTGCATCTATGGATTGTGGTGCGTGATTATTGTATTGCTGAATTTTATCTGCTAATATTTTAAGGATTTTTTGCCTCTATACTCATGAATAATATTGGTCTGTAGTTTTTTTGTTGTCTTTGCTTTTGGTATCATGGTAATAATATAAATATACTATAAATATATAAATAAAACATATACATTACATCGCAAACACTACATAGAATAACTTGGGAAGTGACTGCTCTTATTCTGTGTACAATTAGTGTTCACTCTGTTTTTAAATGTTTGGTAGAGTTATACGGTGAAGCCATCTGGGCCTGTGGATTTCTTCTTTGGCTTTTAAAACTATGAATTCAATGTCCTTAATAGTTATAATGCTATTCAAATGATTTATTTTATGTTTGATGACTTAGGGTAGTTTGTGTTTTTGAGGAATTGATCCATTTTATCTGTCAACTTTATTTTCTGTAGAGTTGCTGTTTGTTTCCTTATTATCTTGTTGTTGTCTGTAGTGATAGCTCTGCATTGATTTCTAATGTTGGTAATTTGTGTTTTCTTTCTCTTTTCCATTGTCAGTCTTGCTGGGTGTTTGTCAATTTTATTGACCTTTCTAAAGAAAACAGCTCTTTATTGATTTTTTCCTATTGTTTTTCTGTTTTCAATTATATTGATTTCTGGCCTTTGTTACTGTTTTTTTTCTGCTTGCTTTGGGTTTACTTTGCTTTTCTTTTTCTAGTTTCTTGAGGTAAGAGCTTAGATTATAGATTATTTGCTATTTAATTTTTGTTTTCTATTCTGTTTTTCATTGCCTTCCTATGGATTACTTGAACATTTGTTAGAATACCATTTTGGCTTATCTGTAACATTTTTTCCTAAAGAACAATTTTGTTTTATCATCATGATTTGTGAAAACAGGGTAGAACAGTTCAAGGATATACACATACACAGTGTCCTGTTTTAGATCCCAAATTTCTTTTTTGATGGGTGGTGGGAGCTGAGCAATGCTGTCATACAGAGGCCATTCTACACCCACCAGTGTTCTTTCATTGAAAAGATCCAGTAGGAGCTTGTATATCTTAGTAATTTTTAAAATATATTTTATTGATTATGCCATTACAGTTGTCCCATTCACCCCCTTCATTCCCTTCCACCCTGCACACCCTCTCCCACCCACCTTCCCCCTCTTTAGTTCAGGTCCATGTGTCATAAGTTCTTTAGCTTCCACATTTCCCACACTACTCTTGCCCTCCCCCTATTTTCTCCCCACCGTCTATGCTACTTATTCTCTGTACC